GGCGCTGTAGGGCCAAGCTAATAGAGCGGCGCTGTAGGGCCAAGCTAATAGAGCGGCGCTGTAGGGCCAAGCTAATAGAGCGGCGCTGTAGGGCCAAGCTAATAGAGCGGCGCTGTAGGGCTAAGCTAATAGAGTTGTGCTGTAGGGTGAAGCTAATGAACAGTACTGTAGGACTAAGCGAATGGTGTGGCACAATAGGGTCAAGCTTTATGCCAGTGGAAAAGCGCCATAACTTTAAACAAATCTGATAGTTAAGAAGTGTCAGTCTAGAGTGTAAAGCTACATTCAGGGACCTGACCACTGTTTCTCACCACTCTCACCTAGGGTGACCAGATAATCCATATCAGGGAGGACACTTTGAGCTACTTCTGGGTTTCACAAACTACTTTCAAACTGAAAGGCTCCTGTGCTCGGCTAAATAGTTCAGCTCTTCTTATGCTTTGACTGGTTTGTTTCCTCGACTGAAAGACTCACCCAACTGTTTCACATTAGCATTAGCGACACATGCATAATTATAGGAGACTGACCAATCAGCACACAGCAAGAACTCAGTGCTCAGGTGAAATCCAGGTCCGTTTAATTGAAATGGTAATTTACAATTCCTGTCCTAGCTCAGAGTGTCCTCCCTGACATGGATTATCTGGTCACCCCACTCTCACCACTGTTTACTGTGCCACTTCTCATTCTCCACCATCACATCTTACTCATGTCTGCTGCCACTGATGACAAACAGCCTTCCTGATTCCCTTTTTATGTTTATGGAACCTTTCAGAGCCGCACGCGGGCTTCAAAATCGCGTTCAACATGTTCGACGCCGACGGCAATCAGATGGTGGACAAACGGGAGTTTCTGGTGGTGGGTATGACCTCCTGGGCAGAGGGGGGCGCTGACGTTTGGGGTGCTGGGTTCTCGGCCAACCCTTTGCTCTGTGCCTCTCTGCAGCTGCAGGAAATATTCCGGAAGAAGAACGAGAAGGGAAGGAAGGGAGACGCGGAGAAGTCAGCCCAGCTGGTAAGGAGCAAACGAATGGCCCTGATGTCACCTCGTGAGAGGAGCAAAGGCCAGGTGCTGCGGGTTCGAGGGAAACCCTGTACCTGCCATTGTGGCTTGGGGATTCTCTAGTATGACATAACAGCTGACATCCCTGCACATTGTTCTACAAAAGCAGGCAGTTTAAATAGCAGTATATCAATATAACTGAAATATTCCCACCCTTGATGTCCTTTAACTCACCCGCGCCCGCTGTCATGAATGCGTCTTCTTGCCATAACAAACGCGCCCGCTGTCATGAATGCATCTTTCCCCGTCACAAATGCGCCCGGCATCATGAACGTGTGAACTCGGCGTCACAAACGCGCCCGCTGTCATGAACGCGTCTACCCGTCGTCACAAACGCGCCCGCTGTCATGAACGCGTCTACCCGTCGTCACAAACGCGCCCGCTGTCGTGACCGTGATCTAACCTCCTGTCTTCTGTTCTTCTTCCTCTCTTACCGCATGCTGCTCTGCATCCCCTTGTCTGTAGACTTTGCAACTGTATGGATATCAGGTTGCACCTGTGAACAGCGTATGTATCTACTGTCCAGTCAGCGCCGTGTGTGTGTGGGGCGTGGGGGGGGCATAAGCAGGGTGGGGAGAGCTGTGCGTGTCTGTGTATGTCTGTAGTATGTGTGTCTGTCTGTCTATGTCTGTAGTATGTGTGTATGTCTGTAGTATGTGTGTCTGTCTGTCTGTGTATGTCTGTAGTATGTGTCTGTCTGTGTCTGTCTGTCTGTGTATGTCTGCAGTGTGTGTCTGTCTGTCTGTGTCTGTATGTCTTTTTATTTCTGTATGTCGGTCTGTCTGCGTGTGTCTGTATATGTCTCTGTAGTGTGTGTGTCTGCTCAGTGTATCACAGTGAACAGAATCTCTTCCTTAGCTGCGAACCCACATCCATCGGGCCACAAGCTCATATTCAGGGTTTAAAGCTCCCCCCCCCAACCACAGTAGCAGTGGAGTCTGGGAGAATTGCGTGTAAATGTCAGCCCCACAGCCCACAGGAGAGTCACAGCCCACAGGAGAGTCACAGAACTTTCTTTTCTTCTCTTTTCATATTTAGTTGTTCCTCGTATCACCAGTGACTTGCAGTCTCACCCTTTTGCTTTAGTTGGGTGGGTTCAGGCATCCGATGGCACTGCGCCCTTAGTTACCACGCCCCCTCCAGAGTTGCATGCCGACAGCCTCAGGGCCTCTCCCCAAGGCGAGGAGGTCGGTGCCCCTCAACCAGGCAGCCCTCAGGGATGGGCAGACCCCTCCCCCCCATGGAAGGATTCTCCTCAGCTGCCCTCTGCTGTGTGGACTTTCAGAACTCTGTGGGGGGAGGGGCTGTTGTCTGTGTGGGCTCTGCTGTTGTTCCGTGACAACTGATGGTGAGCCGCGTACGCTGGTCTGAAGCACAGCCTCTCATTGGCTCTGTCCCGCCCGCTAACCGGTTTGCTTCCGAACCTCACACAGGTCCTTCAGAAAGATCCCCAGGAGTTTGTCCCCCGGAGCTACTGGGATGTTCTGAGACACTGCACCAGTCAGGCCTTGTTTTCAGACCTCGCAGAGGTACCCCCCACCCCCTGTCCCCATCACCCTCACCCCTCTTACGAGACAGTAACCCGCTTCCATGAAACTTCCTTCATAGCTGTGACAGCATCCTGCGCCGGATTCTTCCGGAAACGTGCCTATCAGCTGTTACTCTTTCGTAAGGGTACATCATCCCTTCATTTTTACCTGCCTTCCATTTTACCTCCGTCTCTTTTCCCCCATCCAGATCTTACTCGACCAGCATTATTTTTGAATTTGTTTTCATGCCGTAATCCGTCGTTTCCCGTCTCCTAAGGTCCATCTTACCTTCCCCCCCCCCCCCAATCGCCGCCCTTCTGTCTGTCTGCCCATGTGACTCGACCGTCTCGCTGTCGCTGTGTGTTGTGACCGTAGGCGCTCACATCAAACGCGCAGATGCCTAGACTCACGTGAACATGCCGTTAAGTAATGAGCGGGCCAGCATGACTGAGGAGAGATTACTCACAGTTAACAGCTTTTCTTTCACTTCTCCTTGCGTAATGCGGGCTACACTAAGGCTTTACTCAGCCCAGGAAAGGCTTTCGTCACATTAGTAATCGCCACCAAGATCAAAGCTGTCTGAAAGCCGGCGTGAATGATGCTGGCTTGGCCTTCATCACCACGAGGCAGCGAGGCTTCCAGGAATCTGATGTCAGCACACCTGTGCTGTTAGTGCTTGGAATGAGAGCAGAAATGCGTGTTTTCTCTGCCCGAAACCTTCCGTGTGAAGTAGGGAAAGGCGTGAGCGGTGCCTGAGCCACGCGTGACGAGAGCTGTGAGTGCGCTGAGGCCCTGTGTGGTGGAGTGCGTGTTCCCTTCTGTAGCCTGGAACAATGGGATCTCTCTCTTTTTTTTATTTGAACCCCTCCTGCGCTGGTAGGATTTTAGACTGGAGGTATAGAGGCAGCATGATTACAGGGAGCTTGTTTGCATCCAGCTCGTGGAAAAGGACTGTGTTTGGCCGGCATCTTTCTGCATGGCGGCCGGGGGGCATGTGAACACAAACAGGGCGAGCGTCTCCCGACCTGTCCCGCTGCAGAGCTCGTCCCCGCCTAGTCTCTGAGGAACGGGGGCGGGACTAATCGCCGGACCTCAAGCCTGTGTCTTGTTTTCAAACACGCACACGTGATCACATGACTGATTCCATAACAGCTGGAGCACAAACAGCAAATTATCATGAGTGAGCCGCAACTTGGGGAAAACGTGAGGCTTGGTCCGGCGACGCCGCGCCCCCCAGGCGCGTGGTTGTTATTCTATAGAAAATTCCAGAATCTGCTGCCAGGCGATTATATCGCCTTGGATGTGCGGCGCTGCATGTCAGATTACTGTCCATGTGCTTGTCGCCGTGTGTCACTGTGGCGCCCCCTGCTGTCTGTGTATCTGTGCGTGCGCATGCATCCAGCCGCCCATTGCTGCCGCACGCTGCGATTGACTCGTCACCCCACCCCCCCATGCACACCCCGGGCCATGTGAGGGGGGGGGGGGTGCCGCTCTTCATGAAACCCTAGCGTCTGCCCCTGTCCCCCCCCCCACAGCGTGCTGATGAAGGCATGATGGTAGACACCACACTGCTGGTGCACTTCTTTGGGAAGAAGGGGAAGGCGGAGCTGACCTTCGATGACTTTTACAGGTGAGCCGTCCGCATGCGCGCCACGCGGTATTAATGATCCTCAGTCAGATTGCCGGCCATGGCAATCGTTCTAACTGGGTGACCAAGGCCAGAAAGATAGCAGCTGTTCCAGGAACCTGCTGCTTCCCTGAAGGACCTGCATGGCCTCCTGGTGATGGTTAGCAGAAGACACCACCAGTGCCAGTGACTATGACACCCATCACCACACCCCCCCCCCCCCCCATGTAGGTTCATGGACAATCTGCAGACTGAGGTGCTGGAGATCGAGTTCCTCACCTACTCCAAAGGGATGACCACCATCAGCGAGGAAGACTTTGCTCGCATCCTGCTGCGCTACACCACCGTGGAGAACATCAGCAGCTACCTGGAGAACGTCCGGCAGAGCATCCCCGATGAGAAGGTATGCCGCCCCCTCTCCCCCCATCCTCGGTAGCCATGGGCTGGACTACGGTTAAAAAATGGACAGGTGCACACATACACACCCATGACTTCACCACCCAAATTTTGCCAATCCACCATAAATTTTGCCGGGTCACAGCGTTGATGGGTCACGCATTCCAGTGTGCTGCCATTTTAACGACACACACCGTTGAGTTTCCATCTGAGAGCCCATTCAGTGAACGTCATCGTTAACTCGGGGTCTCAGGCAGCCCCTGCTGGCTGTTTCCCCAGGCCCTGTGTGTGTGTGTGTGTGTGTGTGTGTGTGTGTGTGTGTGTGTGTGTGTGTGTGTGTGTGTGTGGGGGACGGTTCTCTAAAAGGCTCTCGCCCTGCTGATGATTTTTCATGCTGGGGAAAAGAGGACGGGTTTGTCATTATTGGAATCTGTCCCGGGACCTACATCAGGACCTCTCATAGCCTGTCCCATGGGAGGTGAAGGAGGGGTGTCATTTATCACTGTGAGTTATCAATAGCGAGGGTCTTGTCAGCTGAAGCAGCAGTGACCCCTGCTGGGGGGTTTTTAATGGCGATCGTGCTCCGGGACAGGGTGGCTTCGGGTGCAGCGGGATCAGCCCCATCACTTGAATTTGTACATTTTTTTGGGTAGTTAACTGATTTGTTGTTTTACTGTCGCCATTTAGGGAATCACTTTTGAGGAGTTCAGGTCCTTCTTCCAGTTCCTCAACAACCTGGAGGACTTCGCCATTGCCATGCAAATGTACAACTTTGCAAGTCGCTCCATTGGACAAGGTTTGCTTCCCTGAGCCATTCAGAGAGACTTTAGGGTACGAGAGACACAGGGCTGTGAACTAAACATCTGTCAGGGAGCTGAGATCATGGACTGCGCCACTGATCACTGGGGGGGCACAGGTTTAGGAACATACCAATAAATATCTAGGGGGAGATCTCAGATAGAGGGCCTCTTTTCTGAACATGGGCTGTGAGACGCGGACAGCCACAGCGATAACCGTGTGTTTCCCTGCAGATGAGTTTGGCCGTGCCGTCTACGTGGCGACCGGCTTGAAGCTTTCACGCCACCTGGTGAACACCATCTTCAAGATCTTCGACGTGGACCACGACGACCAGCTCAGCTACAAGGAGTTCATCGGCATCATGAAAGATCGGCTCCACCGGGGGACTCGGGTGAGACAGAGGAGACCACTCTGCTGTCAGGCCTTTGCCATTTCCCATGATGCCGCACGGGTTAATATGAAGTGCAGCTAGAATTTTTAGAAAGTAAACCTTAACCTGGAATGTGTTTCTGCCATCTAGTGGTAGATGTAAGTATTGACGTAGCTTACACATTTTCTGCCATATTTCATTTTTGGTTTATAAGGGCAACTTTGTAAAGGCGATCGTTACACATTTCTAACCCACACTGGCCTCTGGGTCTGAAGCCTAACAGGAGTAACAGTGTTGTTGGAAGCCCATCAGATGCTAACACACTATATTAACCTCACATCTTCCTGTCTTTTCTCTGTGTAACCTGGCACTGTGCTTGGTCACCCTGCTTCACCACATCTGACGGCTTCACCCCCCCACCCCCACCTTGCTCCCCCCCCCCTGCTGTGCCCCACAATTCCACCGTCTAACACCAGCAGTACAAAACTGTAGAGAAGTTCACTTCCTTCAGAGCCTGTTTGAAGAAGGAGCTGTCCAACAGATAAGTATGTCGTCACCCCGCCACGTCGCCCTCCGGTGGGCAGGCTGACGCTCACACGGGACCCTCCCCCTCCCCTGATTGGCCAGAGGACCTACTGGCTGTGCCACGCCACCTAACACATTTCTAAGCCTGTAAACCTGTGTTTATAATGTGGTGGGGGTTGTTTCCGGTACGGCTGCCCCAGGAGTAAAACTGTCTCAGGTTTATAGAGTATTTTAGCCAAAAAAGTCAATGGCAGTTAACATGAACTGTTGAGATTCATCACAATCGTATAATATTATAAAAAAGATTTGTTTTAGGCCATTTTAAGTTTGTCTGTTTATGTGATATTGTGTTATAGACAATGACTCTCCATCTCAGCTGTGGTCATGATTATTGACAGCTGATTACTCTGCATGTTCAGGGCAGGTCAATGGTCAAATGAGGTATACACTGTATGCATACACATCTCCGTGGTGATGGTCCCTGTCCACCCCTGACCCCTGTCTCCTGACCTCCTCCAGGTGAGCGGGGTGTCCTTCTTCACTTGTGTCCACGTCCAGGCTGGAAAACATCTCCGGCAGCTGTGGAGAAGGTTCAAGGAGAAGGCGTGAGCGGGAAGGAGGAGGGGTGGGGTGGGGTGGGGTGGCGCCATCTGCTGGTGTGGACACAGAGCGCCAGCTTCCCAACCTCAGCCCCCATACACAGCTCTGCCAATGCTCAACATTATCCTGAAGCAGCGAAGCCTGGGGGAGCTGAGAATGAAGGCATTTCTGGATGTTGCCTTTTTAAGGCGCCAGACTCTCTCAGCACTTCACTGATTATAACCCACCAAAGACTCAGTCCCTTATAAATATTCATAAGCACCGTCCAACTTGGGAAATCTCACCGCTACACAAAGGAGCACTAAGCGTAACCTGCCGGCCACATCTCATCCTCGCCATTTTACAGCGTTCCCCTTCCCAGACACGTCCTTATACCGATAAATATGGAAACCGTAGCTTTTTCGTGAAACAAAGATAAAAATATTAATCCGCGATGAACAGATGGGTGCAGATACAGTGGAATACCACAGCAGAATTGTTGTAGTTCCAGTCACCCTTATAAAAGAATTTTGAATTTTGTTCAGATATTTATCATGTAAAGTTGAAGGGATGTCAATTTATTATGTGACCTCTATAGTGCCTCTAGTGGAGGGGTGTGGAAGCGTTATTTGACAGTATGATAACAGGAATATGGTTTGCTATGTTTAATTTATTCAGTGTCTTTAACACGACTTTGGATTTCGTCTTAGGGATCACAGGGAAGAGTGACTGAAATCTGAAATAGATGCAGAATCTTGGTAAATTTATTTGAAACTTTTCACGTCACTGAACATTTGCCTTAACAGCGCTGTCTGCATGTCTTTTGATCATAATGGGTGTGTTATAATAGAATATCCTCAGTCTATATTTATTCCTGCTTTTTTGTTTGCCTTTTTGCTTGCAGTGCCTTTGTAAGGTGCAGAATTATCCGGAAATGTTGGATGTAATCGTTTAAGTATTTACAAAAGCAATAAGCTCAATCTTATGGACAGGTACCGGAACACCCAAACAGTCCCCAGGTCCCCCCCTGTCCGCAGCAGCGCTATGAAGTGTGAGAAGGAGGGGGCCAGCTTTGGAATGAACTGCCTGGCCAATCAAACGCTTACCCTGAGTTTTAATGTTAGAGAATATTTATCTTGCAGTATATATTTCATTAAAACAAGAAAGGTAAAATCAACACTAGATGACCCCAGTCACCTCTAGCAATGTTAATGACAGTGATAAGTTATTATAATTATTATGTTTTATGCTATACTATATTACTGTATTCTGTTCCAGTGTCGCTTAATGTGTACTCCTCACTGCCTAAACGCATGACCCAGCCGCATCTGAAGTACTGTACCTTACCGTCTGTTTTGGAGATTTAAATTGTATTTATCTGTATGAGCAAGCTGATGGGCAATACTTTTCTCGTGGCAAAACATTATAATTTATAATCTCTTCAAATATATATTTTTTTGCTTTGCTTTCATTCTATCAGTGGATTTGGCGTCTTTATCCAGTGTCTGGTGGACCTCCCATTTAAAACTGCATGAGAATGTTCTAGAAAGGAGATCGGCTATAAGGAGAATGCTGCTGAGAGTGTGTGGCCTTACAGTAAATGGCCCACTGGGGTGACGCCACCTGGTTTACCAGATAACATGTATTTACACATGTGCGTCTGCTTGCATGTCCAAAAAGTTGGGTTCCAGCCTGGTATGTGCTTGATGTTTAGGTTCCCTTGAATACTGACCTGACGGGCAGGGTGCAACCCATGATCCCGAAAAGAGAGCGTCATTACACAACACAACAACATGGGACAGAGCCGGAGATTAAACGCTTCTCCCCACATCTGTGTGAGCGCATGAATAAATCAATGTGAGAGCAAACAGCAGTCTCGCTGTCTTATTTGTTCTCATATACCTGCTGCGATTCTGAGCTGTCATACCTAGTCTGTCCTCCGATAATTCATGCTGAGCAGGATACTATCAGATTTACGACGACATTGGTCGCGACTTCGACACCTTCATTTAAGGCAGAGTTTTGGTGTTGATGTGTGTGGCTGACAATAGAGGACGGTAGTACTTCACACGATTATCCACAACACTGTCTAACAGAATTAACATAAGTGGATTTAAAGATTATGGGACGTGTGAGTAATGGGTGTTTATTTTAAGAGCAAATAAACCTACATGTTGTTTTCTTCTTTCCTGAATGTATTTTAATTTACATAGTGATACTTATTAAATAATTTCCCAAATCAATCTGCATATCACTGTTTGATTTACTGCCGACAGCCTACATCCATTAAAGTACTAAGGCGTCCTGCGGACGTCACGGTGCGGGTGAGAAGGAGGCGGTCCGGGGTTTCACGTCGCTGCTGCAGCCTCAGAGGCTCCGGCACCAGCCTGCGATCACCATCCGGGTGGGACATGGCGCCGTGGGGCCCGGGCGGCATCAGGACGGGCTTGCGGAGGGTTTTGTACTGGGTGCCCGTTCTTTTCATCACCCTAATCGTGGCTTGGTCCTACTACGCGTACGTGATTCAGCTCTGCGTAGGTAAGGGATCCGGGCTGCGATCGGCGCTTCTCCGGGATCCGAGCTGCAATTGCCGAGGCGTCCTGTTCGTGAGCGCTTCTGATAAACATGCATGTAACGTAGACGAAACTTTCTACCCAAGAGAGGCGAGGTTAATATCAACGTTACAGTCATACGGGTCACACGGGGCGCAGGGATAAGTAAAGGAAATAAGATAGAAGAAAAGCGACGATCAGTGGGGCACTGACAAGACTCGTCCTGGAAGGAAAATGCATGCTTTTATAATATAATGGCAAATAAATACGAATTTGTGATTTTAAAAATCACGTATTAAAAACTTTTTAAACTTAAATGACAGGGCTACCCCGTTGTCACGGTAATAACCGGACTTGTCGACGCGGGCGGATTGGGTTTGTTTGTAGTTGTTATCGATAATCATTTTGTTCCACGTTTAATATATCTATTCTAGTAAATAGTGTATCTGCTTAGTTGTAAATTATATATTACATTATGTATTTTTCGTAGTCATATACACGGCAATGCTTACATTCATGATCTGGTGAGTGTAAGCTGACAAACTTGCATATTATATGTAATTATGTCACGTTGCCGCTCCATGTCTTTAGTCTTTAGTAGCTGCTTTTATTTTAGCGTTTTTGAGAAGCCAAATCACCATGACACGGTGAGTTAATGGCCGCAGATTGTTGCGAAAAGCGCCGACTGGGTGATGACAGCCCCCCGGTCGCGCCGCTCCATTCGCGCCCGTAGGCAAACCGCTTTTGGAGGGGGAAGAGTCCGGCCCCCTCAGCGCGCCTGCGCGGCCTGCACTCGCCGTCACACCCGCCTCCACTTGACACCTTCTTCGGGAGGATAGTGTGCTGCAGGTGACGGCGGAATGCACAGGCGTCCCTCTTTGGCCTGGAGGTCATGTTCCCCTCTAGTTTTGAGGAAGTTCCGCAATTCGACTGTTGTGAAAAGCCCAGCCCCATAAGCCATCTTACCACAAGCAGCTCCGCATGTGCCTCAGCCTGACCGGCTGCGCTCTTTAATTATTTATGGGCGTTTAACAGCGCTGTGCGCCGCTGCCCGGCTCTGGCCGCCCGTGGCCCCGCGACCCTCCCCTGCTCAGTTGCCTGCCCTTGTTTATGCGGCATCTGAGCGAAATGGACTCGGATATGACCTCAGATATCTGTGTGGTTGATGGCCTAAAGCTTCCCTGTCCCTTAAATGGAGTTCTTTCTGCAAACATTCAGCATCTGGCCATTTGCCGGAGCAGGAGGCAGGACTTCACCTCCGAAGCCGAAAGAGGAGAATCGTTTCTTTGTGCTGGGCTCAGGGGCTCAGATTAAAGCAGGTCTCGGCATGAAGCGCGGCTCATGGCATGGCCAGCACGGGAAAGCACATTTCTTTGAGCAGGTTTGGGGTGCTTGGTCTCTGAGTGACAAAGTAATGATTGTAAGGTGACCATACACTCACACACTGTCACCATACAGTGATCGCACCTTGACTGTACAGTGACCATACACTCACACACTGTCACCATACAGTGATCGCACCTTGACTGTACAGTAACCATCCAGTCATGCATTATGACTGTAAAGCGACTGCATCCCGACTGTACAGTGACCATACAGTCATGCATGATGACAGTAGTACCCACACTGTGACCGTACAGTGACCATACTGTCATACACTGTGACTGTAGCTGTACAGTTGAACTATAGCAAAAGTGTTTCCTGCTCCTGACTCTCCTGTTTGCCTCTCCTGTCTTTCAGAGTCTATCGAGAATCTCGGGGAAAAAGGTATGTTCAGATTAACCCTGAGTGAATCGTGCTGCCCTTTCCTGTCCCTTCCAGTGCTTACTGCCTTTTCCAGCACTTCCTGTCCCTTCCAGTGCTTACTGCCTTTTCCAGCACTTCCTGTCCCTTCCTGTCCTGTCCAGTAATTCCTCTCCCATCCAGTAGTTCCTGTTCTGTCCAACCCTTCCTCTCCCACCCAGCACTTCCTGTCCCTTCTGGTCCCATTGAGTGCTCCCTGCCCTGTCCTGTCCCATCCAGCACTTCCTGTCTAATCCTGAGATTCCTGTCCCTTCTCAAGCCCAGCTGTCAGGAATGCTGATGCTACACATTGCCTTCCCAGCATATTCTGCCCCCCACTCCCTCCCCCCCACGCTCAGCTTCTCCGTCTGTCCCACAGTGGTCTGCCTGCTGACCTACCACGTGATCCTGGTCATGTTCGCCTGGGCGTACTGGAGCACCATCTTCACCAGCCCCATGACCCCGCTGAAGGAGGTGACAGAGAACAGGGCCCCCTCTGTCATGCCGGGCAGTTTGGGTCCCAGCTTTTCTAAACCTAATAGTATTAATTTCATTTATAATCTTTATCTAATGTACGCTAGACGGAGTGTCACTCACAGAAACCCCGCTCATCTGTTAAATCTGCCCCGTCTTTGCCCAAACACTCCTCAGCCCCCCAGGAGGTGCCCCACTAATTTGGGTTCCTGTGTCCTCCTCGCCCTGCAGTTCCACCTGTCCCACGCGGACAGGGAGCTCCTGGAGCGGGAGGACCGGGGCTTGTCCATGCAGGAGCTCCTGCGAAGGATCGCCAAAGATCTGCCCATCTGCACCAGGACACCATCTGGAGGTTTGTGGCTTCTGACGCTCTGATGCTCGCATCCCAAACTACACGCCTCCAGCCCTTTAATGGCTGCTGAAGCGTGGAAAGAACCTGCTAAACCATCGCTAACCCTGACGTCCCACAATGCCTTTCACCCACAGCCATTCGCTACTGCGATAGATGCCAGCTAGTGAAGCCGGACCGATGCCACCACTGCTCTGTCTGCGACAAGTAGGGCCTCCCCTCTGTGAATGTGTCATTGACATGCACGTGGTGATTGGAGGATGAAAACTTTAGCCCCACCCCCAGTAGCTGGGGCTGTCAATCACAATTACAGCCAATATCACTCCTGATCGCAAGACACCCCAAGTAACATGTCAGACTAGCACAGACCCCCGTGAGGGGATACAGTCCCAGCCGGGATAGGGGTGGGTGCTAAGGTCGTGTGACGCTAGAGGGATGTGTGGGCGGCTAAATGGTGACATACTGACTGGTGAACAGCATCTCCTGCTGCCCTTCTTGCACAGGTGTGTCCTGAAGATGGATCACCACTGTCCCTGGTAAGCATGGCGCCACACGGAACGACCACAGACTGTATGTTTCAAGTTTGATTGCAGATTTCATTTGGAAGAATGAAACTTTTGTCTTTATATAAACTCATGTTTTATATTGTGAAATAGTACACATCCATCCATATTCACGGTAGGGGGTGTATGAGGGAGAAGGACACCATGGGGGGGGGGGTGCCGGGCTATCAGAGGGCACATACACACTCATGCTCCATCAAATTCCTGAGATACCAGTGAGCCTGAATACGGGAACCTGAAAGAACCTCACAGGAACCAGGGAGGCCCTACAGAACCTCCCCCTCACTGAGCACTGCGGGATGTGTGTATGTGTGTGTGTGTGTGTCTATGTCTGCATATTTGTGAGTTCGTCTGTCTGCGTTTGTGTGTCGCTGTGTGTGTCTGTGTTTGTCAGCATCTCACACACTCTCTCGGCTCTCTCCTCAGGGTCAACAACTGTGTGGGTTTCTCCAACTACAAGTTCTTCCTGCTTTTTCTGGCCTACTCACTCCTCTACTGCGTCTTCATCACCGCCACGGACATGCAGTACTTCATCAAGTTCTGGACTGTGAGTTTCTCTCTGTGTTTGACCGTAGCGTGACCAAAGCTTTGTGACACTGTATCACATTGCAGAGGCTCGGCTCTTTCTCTGTGACCCTCTCTGTGAGCATACCCCCCCCACCCCCGGCCCCCTTGGGCCCCACGGTGACCCGCTTTTGTCTCCTCAGAACAGCCTGCCAGAGAGCCAGGCCAAGTTCCACATCATGTTCCTGTTCTTCACGGCGGCCATGTTCTCCGTTAGCCTGTCCTCGCTGCTCGGCTACCACTGCTGGCTGGTGTGTAGGAACCGCTCCACCTTGGGTGAGTGCCCCCCCCCCAGCCCGGGTTCGGGGCAGATTCCAGGCTAGCATCTTTCTGCTAACTCCCTGTAATCTGCTGCTTTCAAAGGCCACCTTTCATTCTTAGATTTGCTGAACTGAGAGGGTCTAGTTTCGTTTGCTAACATTTGCAGAGGAAAGCCTTCATATCCAGAGTCTGAGGCTTAACGTGTATTTGATTTTAATTGGGGGGAGATTGACCACCATTGAGCACATGACATTTCGTTTGGCCAGCAAAAATTTGCTTCACGCTGTTTTCCTTGTGCTGTTAGAGGCGTTCCGGCCCCCGGTGTTTCAACACGGACCCAACAAGAATGGCTTCAGTCTAGGAGTCAGGAAGAACATCTGCCAGGTCTTTGGGGACGAGAGGAGGTATTGGCCACTGCCCATCTTCTCCAGGTGAGGGGGAGGGCGCCGCGCACGTTGTGCCAGACCCTCCAGCTCAATCACCACCCTGACGGTGTTTCCATGACGATCCTCTGCCCGTAGCCTTGGTGATGGCTGCTCCTTCCCGACCTGCCTGGTCACCCAGGATCCTGAGCTGTCATCCTCCCCGGCTGCTCCACACCAACCCAGCATGCGGTAAGGGCGCATTCCCAGCCGGGGGCCAGCAGAGGGATTACAAGAAGGACTGGCACACATGAAGGGAGGCTGGTAAACATCCTGTCAGGTGACCTATCTGTCCCTGAGACACCGGCCAGTGTGGTGAGTGTTGTTCCTTTGATTGGCAGGCCTGGCAGGACCCGCCCCTTACCCGCCAAGCCGCTGCGGGAGTCGCAAGCATGGCTGCTGGGGGGTGAGTCTGCCTGGGAGGCGGGCGAAGGCCAGAGGGGCTCGCGGGAAAGGGGAGGTATGCCATGGTGCTGGTCGTGTTCTGCCGCGTCTCTGCAGCACACTGCCGTCATCCTTTGGTCCCCTGGGACTTCCTGCTGTCACAGTGACAGGCTGCATCGTGCTGTAATGCAGCTATTATCATGTACATTTTGAAAGTAACTGGTAGACCAGCACACCACTGATAACAGGCACTCCATCAGACAGCCGCCCAGTCACAGGACTGAGCTGGCATGGGGCTGCTGTCTTTGAACAGTGACAATGCATTGCATTCATGGGAGCGGTATTGCTTCATGGCGTGACCTCTTCTAAAAACAGCCCAGCTCATGTAAACCCCGCCCTTTGTCCCCCCTGCTTTGTATTGCAGAAGCAAACCTTCCTACAGTGGTGACCGAGGATGAGGCCTAGGCCAAACAAGGGGCTCTCAGACCCAGGAATGCAGGTTAGGGCTCCCTGGCCTGGGACTAGCTAGATGTTCCTGTTCCATTCATTCTGACATTGCAGTAACAAGGAGGTCATGTGACCACACCATTGTGCAAGTGACATGATTTGAGCTACAGGTCTTAGGATGTGGGTTGTGCAACTTTAGGGACAGAAGAGGCCATAGAATCATAGAAGCCCAAGGCTGGGTCCATTTTGGGGCCTTGTGTTGGATTCTGCTTCCAGCTGGGGCAGAATAACAATCGGCTCTGCTGTTCCAGCTTTTATTCCTAACAACACCCATATTATTCCAAACAAAACAACTTGCTGCTGTTTTGTTTTGTAAAACAAGGTGGAGGATAAAGGGAACCTAACCCTCTGATTTTCCAGGGTTGGAGACCACTGGAGAAGAACCAGCCCACAAGGAAGGAGCCTCCTATTGACCCACACTGTCTTGATGCAAGCACCAATGAGAGGATGTTGTCATTGTTTTGGCAACAACTCAAGCAGCTCATTGGTTCTTTTTTCCTTACTTACTCTCCAGTACCACAGACTGTCTGCCGTGGATCACATGGAGTCAGGAGTCATATGTGCTCATGTGTGTTTGCTTATTTTTGGCTTGACCCACGATGGTCTGGCTACACATAGTGGGCAGGCAGGTGGAATGACTGTTTCCAGGCCTTGGAAATGGCTTGGACTTCAGGATACTGTGAAGATGCAAGAGGCTCTGGAGTTGGTTCTGATGAGAATGTGTTTTTAAACCGCCAAAGTATGTCACACTAACATGTGTAACATCCTGGGTTTCGCAAGCTACCCATAAACTGCTTTCAAAAAGCTTCACTTGCCTGTGACAGCAATTGCTTGCTGAACCAATTTTTATTTCACATTTATTTCACTCCTAGTACTATAACATAATTGTCTGAGTGATGGACTGCAATAAGAGAGTCAATCAAGTATAACAAAAAAAGGTTGCACTTTGCTTCAATTCAATTTTATTATAAGTCTGCGCAAAACACAGACATTTCGGCGTAATGCCTTCTTCAGTGTGCACAAAGCAACATTTTTTAACGTAACGTAAACACAAATGTTTAAACGTTTTCTTCATCTAGATGGTATTATTTGCTTAATTTCAGTTGGTGACATACAAACTAACCCAGATCAACACTGATTATTTCTATTCAGCATGAGTGAAACATGTTACCATGTTATGACAGGGAAGCAGACTGCAGCGTGAGGACTTTCCTAAACAGATTCAGTTTTAAACAGTCTTTCTTTATGTCTGGACTCAATGACCTCAAGATAGGCTTTTGGTTCCAGGATTTGCAGTTATCTTATAAAAGAGAAAGACATTCCATTAGAAATTTCACAACTGGATGTCTTAGTGTGGCTCCGAATGATATAAGAGGAGTATTAAGGCGTGCAAAGTCGTGTCATATATGGGAGTTAATTCACCGGGCAGGACAGGTTATTAACAACCGAAGAACTTGTCATATTTCCTCCGGAGCAGCCATTCAGGCTTTTGGACCAGGTTCAGGTAATAATATACTGCTGCAGACTGTTAACACCACTCTCAGGCTCCACCGCTCTCAAGCCTGCAACTCTCAGGTTCCATCGCTCTCAGGCCTGCAACCCTCAGGCCCTGCTGCTCTAAGGCCCCACTGCTTTCAGGCCTCACCTCTCTCAGGCCTGCAACCCTCAGGCCCCGCTGCTCTAAGGCCCCACTGCTTTCAGGCCTCACCGCTCTCAGGCCCCACTGCTCTCAGGCTTGCAACCCTCAGGCCCTGCTGCTCTCAGGCACCGCCGCTCTTAGGCCATTTATGGTTGGGGTGACACATGCACAGAGAACAAAGTAGCATGTACTTTATCGGTTTCAAAAGTTTTCAATGTGTACTTCATCTGTGTGACATATTTGACAAAAAAAGGCACCACTTTACAATAAGGCTCCCTTTTGCCTTGTAAATGGTAGTAACTCATTAATAAAAAGAAAACTGTGTTATAACTTGTTTAAAATTGTCTATTAATAATTTACAGTGTTACAACCTAATTAATAACCAGATAATACACCATTCATAAACCCTGTATATGGGTAGCCTTACTGTAAAGTGGCACCAAAAAAAAAAGTCCAATGCATATATTTGTCCATGATCTATGTTTAGGGTGACCAGATAATCCATGTCAGGGAGGACACTTTGAGCTACTTTGGGTTTTACAAACTAATTTGAAACTGAAAGGCTCCTGTGCTCAGCTAATTAGTTCAGTTTTTGTGCTTTGACTGGTTTGTTTCGTTGACTGAAAGACTCATCCAGCTGTTTCACATTACCATTAGTGACACATGCACGATTATAGGACACTGACCAATCAGCACACAGCAAGAACTCGGCGCTCAAGTGAAATCCAGGTCCTTTTAATTGAAATGGTAATTTACAATTCCTGTCCTAGCTCAGAGTGTCCTCCCTGACATGGATTATCTGGTCACCCTATCTATGTTTCATAATTGTCAATCTATTCTAAATCTAAACGTTGAATATATATTTTTTAATTTTGATTTTACAGTTTGAAGTTTTACTGTTTGTGCATAAAAAATAGACTGTATACACAAATAGCATTTTTATTTATATCAGCAGTTATCTATGATTACTTGTATTGCCTAGATATTGATCACTTTAAAAATCTGCCATTCTCATATAGGTATAATGTTTGGCCATAATCTGTTGTGTTATCCATTTTGGACAGATGAATGTAACTGTCTTTAAACGCTCTCTATATATATACAGACACATATATATATACACACACACACACACACACACACACACACACACACACAAAAATAAAGTTTCGCTATGAACCGTCTGTTATGTGCGGGTCCGAGAACGCGCTATCTGCCGGAAAGCGTTTCGTGGGAACGATCGTGCAGCAACATGGCGGCACATGCGCGGAACCGATTTTGCAGCCGGCACGCATAGGACACTTTAAATGGGGCTTTAAAAAAGTGAAACCCTGGCTTTCCCCCAAAATACAAATTAAATGCGTTGGCGCCATCTAGGTGTAGCTTATTTAATCGCAGTGATCCCATAATAATAAACAATTATCAACTTGGGCTGTTCCTCAGTGGATATTTTATAAAGCGGGATTATTATGTGAAGAACACAGTCCTGCGTTGCCAGCTCTTATGCATCTGGCATGACACTCACGCTATTAGATTCACACGCCCACACAAGAAATCTCACAGTAAATGTAAATTATTCCATTATAAAGCTAAAATTAGCTACATCAAAAGCGTTGGGGCACTTTGCAAACCTTACAGACTATTTACAAGCTAATAAAACCGTTAAGTATATTTAAATACGTGTGCATGTGTGTGAAGACTTGTCATGAATGGAAAATATTATGCCATGCAGCTGACCAAAGTTGGCAAATTTGGCGACATGACATGCCACTACCCCACAACTAGTAATTTAATATATCATATGAACGTAAAGCCTCGTATAAATTTACACTTTCAGTATGAAGATATTAAAATATATTCAACACCCGGCAATAAGTATATTTAATTCAATTTTAAAAATTTAAGTCGAGGAACATCTGGTTAGTAACACGTGACGTACGAAGCTCATAGATGATGCGCAGCCCCGTGACCGCTGACGCGCACGCTCGACGTGCTCGCTCCTGTGACCACTGACGTATACGCTGCTTGTTTTCGCCTTACATTGTTCTCGGGTGCTAGTCTGTGCGCGTCTGACAGTTTTAACGCACTGTAAATGACAGTAGGGCTTCCGAAGCAGAGTGTTGGTTAGAGGGAGTACCAACGGGAGGTCCTGCGCCGCAGAATGGACCTGTCACCGAGCAGCTCGTAGGCTTTCCGCGTGCTAACGTCGGCTATCCGGCTAATCCCATCGTCGACACGGTTCCTGCTCCATGCCGGACTCCCCTGTCGAGGCTCACCGCTAAGTCTTCAGCCAGCCGTCGGGCTCCGCCGGGAGAGGATGAACTGGATTTTCCCGTTTTCCAAAGGCTCCGGGCCGCTACCACCTCTCACCAGCCTGCAACAGCAGCGACAGCGGCAGATCGAGTCGCTGAGGGCCGCCCACTCCAGGTGAGCTCGGCCCCGGGCCCAGATTAAAGCATTACCACGTATTATCCATCCGGCCGTTGGCTCTGCTCGCCTCTTACGTCTGCCACTACGTTTGAAATTGTCACTGTCATTAATATGGATCCTTCCCTGGCGACCAGACTTTACTGTGGGGAAATCCCCGTGAGCTGGAAATGATACGGTGTGCGTGTGACTTACCGCTGATCGCGCGCGCCCGCGTATGTGTGTCCTCAGCATCGCCGAGATCCAGAAGGATGTGGAGTACAGAATACCCTTCACAGTCAACAACACCACCATCAACGTTAACATGTGGGTACCTGTCGTGGGCTGTGGCCCCTAGTCGCACTTCTCCACACAGCCATCTTTCCCAGGGTTTTTGCAGGGTGTACAAAATGATTATGTCACTGCCTTTTCCCCACCCTTCCCTTCAGTTTGCTCCCACCCCAGTTTCCACAGGAGAAGCCGGTCGTCAGTGTGTTCCCCCCGGTGTGTCATCACCTAGTGGATGCCACCAGTGGGACCATGGTGACCAGCCCCCTCATAACCAACGTGAGTGCATCCTGTCGTACTGGAGCTGAAGTGGTCATGACGTCCAAACGTTGGGCTGGATCAGGTAGTGGGAGCTGTGGGATGATGCTGTGGATTTTAAGCTATGATGTCGTTGTTCCTTTTTCAGTTCGGAATGCACTCAGATTTGGGGAAAACCATACAGGGCCTCATGGATGAGTTCTGGAAGAATCCGCCCGTGGTGACGTCGGGTCCTAGCAGCTTTCCCTAGTGAGTGTGTGGGCGGAGCCCCTCCTCTCCCACCTTTCTTTTCTGTCCTGCACTCTTTCCAGGCTCAGCCTGACCACCCACCAGCCCTGTGGTTCCCAAACTGGGGGGCGCGCCCCCCAGTTTGGGAACCACAGAGGTATTGCAGGGGGGGGGGCACCAATGGGATAGCCTCAGGGGCAAATAATCTCTTCACAGACTGGACGATTAAACAAATAAAGCGGCGCAACATTACAGTAACTAACAATAAATAAACCACTAACTTATGTGTACTATTAGAGCATTTCTGTAATTTATTTAAACTTTATTTTACCAGGTAAATTAACTGAAAACCAGTTCTCACTGCTTTACGTGATTTTTGGGAGAAATAGCAGATAACGCATCGGAACTTCCTGGGATACAAACGTCATACGAATGTCACGTTCTTCAGCCAATAAGGGCAAAGTTGTGTCGTCACGGAGGCAGTTCCAGTTTGTTCAGCCAGCTGAGAGGTGGTGTACAATCCGTCTTAAGTCGTCTTGCTCTTGCAAGGTTTTTGTACCATGTGACATGGTGACACGTAACGACGTTTTGCAGCGCCGGACAAAAAAATCCAACCATATCATGAAAAACGAGGTTTAAAATTTTCTACATGAAGTGCAGGGAGACATTATTAATTAATGGGTATGATTTAGTGTTGTTTTGTGCTATAGTATAAGCTGAAACCTGCGGTTATCATTAAAAACAAAATGCGGTAATTGTAAAACAAACTTTAATTTGTGTACGAGAATGAATATTAACAGGAATGTTAATTATTTGCATAATTTCAAACTTATTCTGGACTTTTTTTTTTAATTGATTGCTCTTTTTTCTCCCACAGTGGTGAAATTGCACAGTTTGTATTTTATAATTGCATTTGTTTCATTCCATTAGAAAAGGGAGTTGTATTTCAAATAAAGTTTGAATTTGAACCTGTGTAATTTGAATGGGGGGGCTCAATAAGGTTCCTATCTTGAAAAGGGGGGCCCTGCAGAGAAAGTTTGGGAACCAGTGTGAGGTTATTCATCAGACTGTCAGCTGGGGGCTGCAGAGAGAGGCTGGAGCCTGACTGTGCTCTCTCATGCCCCCGGTGGCAGCTCTCTCTCATACCTGCCTCATTTCTCCTGCCCTCTCTGCTTCTGTGTTTCAGTGGCATGTACAAGCCCCCAGGGATGCCATACGCCACCCCCCAAGGCTTCCATTACATCCCGGCATTCCCACTCCAGGACAGCTCGGCACGGCCTGTGGCCCCAGCCCTTGCACCCGTCCCCCACCCGGGGACAGAGCCCCATGCGGCCCCCCGGGCTGCCGCACCTGCCTACGGCCTCATCACGGGGCTGCCTGTGCCCGTGCCCACAGCTGACACGCAGGTACCCGTCACTGGGATCGTGGGCAATCCAGGCTGCGGCACGTAGGGCATGCTGGGTCAGCGCTCATGCACGCATGTGCTGAAATGACTGTAATAAATAATTAGTCTGTGCCTGTAGTTTGATGCCTGCCTCTCCCCCTGTGCTGTGCTGCAGGCAGGCTTAAACGGTCACATCTACAAGATGCCCGAAATTCCTGAAATGTTCCCAGAGCTGTCGGAAATTAGGTAAGGATCGCACAACGTTTTCCCGGGCTGTCAGGCCACGGTTCTGTCATTGGCAAAAAGTGGTGTGACGCTCTAAAGGTGATCATGTGACCACGCTGACTTGCCCTGGGCAGTGCGGCCCGCCTGAAGGAGATGAGCGAACAGGAGGACCTGCTGCTCGACTACTTCGTGCGGCTGCCACAGCTCAAGCAGGTCACGTCGGACAAGGAAGAGCTGGTCACCGGCATCGTGGACATAGCCAGTGAGTAGGGCATGCCGTGAAGTCACATGGGTGCCAATACCCTCGCTCCTCCACCCTGAAAAGCTGTCTGTCTGCTTCTCTCTCTGCCTGCCTGTCTCTCTCCCTCTCTATTTCTGTCTGGCTGTGTGTCTCTTTCTCTCTGCCTGCCTGTGTCTCTGCCTGTCTGTCTTTTTCTGCCTCTCTCTCTCTCTCTGCCTGCCCGTGTGTCTCTCTCTCTGCCCCTCTCTATGTGCCTCTCTCTTTGTCTGTCCCTCTGCCTGCCTGCCTGCCTGCCTGTCTCTCTCTCTATCTCCCTCACTGTCTCTTCCTCTCTCTGTCCCTCTGCCTGCCTCACAGAGAAGAACCTGCTGCTGGAGCCCCAGCTGGAGGGGAAGAGGCAGGAGATGTTGGAGAAGGTAAGCGCCGTTTGGGGACCAAAGGGCTCATCCCAAACGAGGGCCCAGCACTGCTGGTATCTGTCAGAGGGAAGGGGGTGACCACGAAGGGCACTGATTGCTGTCCCGCTGGCTCCCCTGCCATCTTCAGTATGAGGAGCTCACACAGATGAAGTCAGCCTTCGAGGTCAAGATGCAGCGGCAGCATGAGCTCAGCGAGGTGAGGCTCAGGGTGCGTGATGGGGGGCCGGGTCCAACCCACCCCCCCGGTCCCGAAAGGTGTTAGCGGTGCTTTGACCTTTAAGCACGAGAAAGGAAACGTTTTCTAAAAATGCCCCCCCTCACCCCCAGAGCTGCAGCCTGAGTGCCCTGCAGGCCCGACTCAAGGTGGCGGCCCACCAGGCCGAGGAGGAGTCTGAGGAGACGGCGGAGCACTTCCTGGAAGGCAAGACGGACATCGATGACTTCCTGGCGAGCTTCATGGAGAAGAGGACGGTAAGGTGTCGTCTACATCGGCGTGAATCTGTCTGTGTGTGTCTGTGTGCGTCTGCATGTCTGTCTGTGTGTGTGAGACTGTGGGTTTGTGCTTTACCACATTGTAGGGACCAAATGTCACACAATGTGATTAAAAAAAAAAAAAACTTGTGGGGAGATTTATGGTTATGGTTAGGGCTGGGTTTGGGTTGTCACACTGGCCGTGGGTAACGGCTGCCGGATTTCCGTTCCCCAGCTCTGTCACTGCAGGAGAGCCAAAGAGGAAAAGCTGCAGCACTCCATCAACTCGCCGGGCTCCCTCCACAGTGCCCATTAGCCCCCCAGCACTGCTTCCTCTCTTATTGAGGTAGGTCCCCCAACCCGGACTCAGGCCACGCCCCCACCCATGCTGGCCCTAACTGCCCGTCTGCCCTCAGGTGTGGGTGTGGCCGAGCCGGACCCGCCCAGCCCTGCAGCCACGTAGAGGAGCCACGCCCCCTGCTGACCGCATAGTGGAGCTGCTCCCGCCGCTGGCCGTGTGGAGAATCCGTATCGTGGGCCAGCTTTGGGAGACCTCCCTCTGACTGTGTTTATGCTGTCCTGCCCGTGAGACATACTGTACAAGCTCTGTTAATAATAGACTTTATTATGATCAGACAGTGTATTATATGTTATTTCATTTGTTAGCTAATAAATCATGAAAATCATTCAGCGATGCATTTTTCTTGAAGCACAAAGTCGCGAGGCCCGCAGACGTAGGGGTGAGCTGTTCTACAAAGGAGGCTCCACACATGCTTTTGAGGAAATGTCCTTTACTAAGCCACTGAATGAGGATATTTTGGACACATTACAGTTTGGGAGGGGTGGCGGATTAATACAGTCACCCCCCGAGCGGATTAATACAGTCACCATGGCACCGATTCAGAAAAATGCCGGCCGACTTTATTCCTACTTACAGCACGACAGCACACACATCAAATAACATAAAAAGCGCTGTACACTTACTATTATTACAATTAAAATGCCGATAAATGTCCTGGGGTGTGTTCCCCCCAGATAGGGGTGCTGTGGGCCATCATCCCCCCCTGCCACAATACGAGGAGCTTCTCACCAGGCAGAACCTCTCCTGATAAGACTTTAAATTGTTCCTGCACAGAAAAGTCAGCCCCTTGACAATAAATAGTGGACTTAAACTACGAACATAACTGTAAAGGACTGGTGCAGGGCGGGCTTATTAAAAGCGACACTGTCAACCACATGATGGAAGTGCCTATAGTCAGAAAAAGGAGCAGCCCCTCCCTCCACACCGCCCCCCCCCCGCCCCCAATGAAGCGCAGGCTGCCCCACACTGTCAGCCCAGTTACCTGCCTCTTCATTGGCACTGAGAGGCTGCAGGAGACCACACTCTTGCCTTAGGAAGGGGCGGGGCTTCTTCATTGTTATAGAGACAGGCAGCATGCACTGAGGTATGTGAAGTGGTGCTGTAGGATGCCGCTATTTACACTGGCGCCCCCTGCTGGGTGGTGAGGGGGTGCCGACAGGAGGATGGCGCTTTCGATGACATTGCAGTGTGGTATGGCGGCTCACCCGCAGCGCCCGCATCATATGGCCTCTGCCGGCCAGCCCGCTCAGGCAGTGGAGTAGGCGGCCTCGTCCGAATCAGGGTCCTTGGCGCTCTCCTCCCCGCTGCTGGGCGACAGACAGCTCAAGTCGGTCACACCAGACTCCTGGTCGCTGCTGGCCGAGAGGTCGGGGTCAGAGCGCTTGAGGGGGCTCTCCGACTCCCCCCGGAGACAAATCTGTGTGCGGCGGGGGGGGGCGGATGCCACGCCACGCTCATCCGCTGTCTTCATCATGGGCCCCGCCTTCCTCGCCAGGATCTTGTTCAGATTGGCTATTTTCTGAGGGAGGGGAAGGAGGGAGAGGTGTTAGGGGTGATGCCGCCTGCGAGCGTGAGCCAGCAAACGCAGGATCGGCCCCTTTTTAGACACGCCCACATCTGCTCAGGCTTCACGAGGTTTTATGAAAGTCAGGGTTGCGCCCTCCAAACAGGCTAATGGACGGCGGAACTGCTCTAAAATCTACTGCTACATCGCGAGGACGACCAGCACAGCCGCTCAGTCAGCTCTGCTGGAATTCTTAGGAACCTCCAATCTAACTGGATGTCAGCTAGGGGGCGCTGTCTAGAAAGGGGCGTGTCGCTGCCATGGGCCGTGTCTGCTTGTGCCTTGTTCGCCGTCGGGCCGGGCCGTCCCCCGCGGTACCTCCTGCTGGGCGCTCAGCTCCGCCTCCAGCTGCTGGGACTCCTCCCTGACAGCGGTCAGGACGTCCGTCACCGAGGGGGGAGGGCGCTGCCTCCCTGGGTCTGAGCGGCAGTACATGGCCCTCCAGAACCTGGGACACACAGGAAGCGTGCTGGGTCAATGACAGTGCCCCCCCCCACCCAGCCTGACACACCATACCACCCCCCACCTGCTCCCAGTTCTGTCAGGAATGCTAAACAAATCTCAAGCTGCCTAAAGACACCAACATGCTTCAGCGGTCGTTGTCATTCCTACTTGAAGCAGTAGGGGGCAGTGGTGGGCCGCAGTACGCCCTGCGTCTGGCTGTGGTCCGGCCTGTACAGAGGGTTGGTGTAGTCCGCCCGCTTCTTCCAGAGATGCCACCATACTGAGTGGGTCTTTTCCCTGAGTCTGTCAATAAGCAAAATGCATCTCGGACCCGGAACGTTTTGGTCCATAGAAACGGCACCGTATCAACAGGCCCCAAGCCCAGCACCCACCGGAGGTCCACACGCTCCTTCTGGCAGTTGCCCAGGAAATTGCCGTACTGGCAGGAGTAGACCTGGTCGTGGAGGTGCAGCAGGAAACGCTCGTTGTACTCGAAGGCACAGGGGAACTGCAGCGAGAGCTGCCAGACACACTCCAGGAACTGGTCCATCACCGGGGAGACCTCACGGGGGTCACCGTCCACGTGGCTGTACCTGTGCCAGGGGAGACCATCCGGGACCTGAGACCGCGTCCCCGCAGCTTCGCTTTCACACAGGCATGCTGTGAATGAACAGCTCTGTCCTTGAGTTTCAGGTTTTACCATGTAGATTACGGTAAATAAAGGCGCCAATGTCTTTTCGTAAAAAACCCTTCCGATAAATATCCATCTCTCATCCCTTCAGGCCCCTCTATGTTCAGTCTTTGTCACACAGGAACGTTAAGCTGCTTTTTTAAACTGCACATTTTTCCAAGAAATTCACTGAATTGGCTGCTTGCTTTTGGCATTTAGCATAAGCCAATCACGCTGTGTGTGCTGGTCTCCGTGGCGACGGCTGGGGCAGACCTGGTCACACGGTGTGGCGAAGAAGCTCCACCCCACGACCGAAGCAGACCGCAGGCTATGCACTCACCTGTGGGAAAACTTGTGCCCGAACGACACCCAATCCCGCTCGATGAGAACCTGAACACAGGGCGGAGAAGCAATTTTATTTGCTCGTGGTCAGGAGGGAAATATACGGAGTCATACACGTCACACGTAGTCTGCCGTGTGCACCTCGGTACTGCGGTCACTTATATGGCCCCAAGTCACACAAATTATTTAAATCAACTGCTGCTGCTGTTTCAACTCAACACAATCTACATGCGTGTCCTGAATCTGCTCTTTTGAGGCATGTGTGCCGACTGCCTGGTCGCATAGGCTATGGCTGACCCCCCCCACTGCAGACAAGAGCTCTCCCTTAGGGGGTTAGATGTGTGAGAGTTGGCAACACGGGTTTAAGGAGCAACAGGCTGGTACCATGAGGCCCTTCAGGGTCCGGTAGTAGGGGTCCAGAAGCACGCTGGCCACAGAGCAGGCCTGGGCGGTCCGGTCCCAGCCGTCCGAGCAGTGGACCAGCACGCTGGCGCCCTCTTCTGCTACCGCCTGCAGGAGCACATGCCAACACAGGAACGTAAACACAGCCGTAGGCACACTTGCAGCACTTGGCTAATCTCTCGCGCACAGTGGTAATACTGATCCTCCGCACACATGCGCGGTGCATGTGCCACACCCCCTGCCCCGGTCACCTTGGCGATGAAGACGCCAGCATCCAGGATTCCTTTGATGTGCTTCAGCCAGCCCGAGCTCTCCAAGCCCCAGAGGAACTCCGCCATCGAGGGCGACTTCTGCTCGCACACTGCGGACACACAGAGGCCCGGTTTCCACGCTGCACCGGCTGACCCAGTGACGTGAGAGCGGCTCTACGCTCTGCCTCCCATCAATCGCGTTGGAGAAGGCGGACAGCGAATTCTGCTCCACCGGCCGCACTCTGACAGAGAAATTAGCCCGGCAGGTTCCGGAAAGCATCACCGCCAGTGTTCCGATCTTACTTTTGCAGGATCAAATTCAATTTCTGCACAACCAACCACCAGGAATGAAAAAGAACAAATAAAAAGTACAAAAAGGAGTGATGACTGGTACAGCAGAGAGGCACTTCAATCTCGGCAGGAATCTGTGAGTCAATCACATGAAGATCAGGCTAAAATCGACCGGAACCAGTATCTCCTTATGGAGCTGCAGCCGGCGAGCCAGACAAACAGAACTCCTGTGGTGCCCCTGAGCTCTGCCCCTCAGGGTAACGGGTCATTATCAAGCATGTAACCAGCTCAGCAAGAAAAGCCAAGCATAGTGAACACAGAACAGCACCAGTACCTTCCAGCATCTTCTGCTGGCTGCTCCGCATGACGTGGATGTTCTCGATGCTGAGGAAGTGAAACTTTATATTGGCGTAATTATCCTCACTCTCGTAGCCCTTTCCTGCAGCCCGGTTCGCCATGGCGTTCAGCTGAAACGGAACACAACAAGCAACAAAGCTTCACTGTGAGCCAGCAGGGGGCAGAACTGTCCTCAACGCTGGCCCTTCCCGGAAGCGGCTCACCTTAGGCCGGGTGTCCACCACATACATGAAGGGGCTGCCGGGATTGGAGCTGCTGATAGCCTGTAGCATCTGCTCATCCTCCAGGCAGCGAGCGCTGAAGCCTGAGAGCGGCTGGCTGCTGCGGCAGATGGCGGCCTGCGCAGAGCGGAGGAGACGCTAGCGCTAGGGCACTGTAGCATACAGTTAGCTGCTATCTGCTAATCAGCAGACGTGGTTCAAGGTCCAGAAAGTACTAATCCAAGCCAAGATTTTGTTTCAGCCAACCAAGTGAATATAAAGAGTCAGTCACAGAGTACTCAACTGGTAGGTTGAAACAAATTCTTGGTCTGGATTTGTACTTTCTGGACCTAAACTTTCCACGTCTGCTAATCAGCTAGCGGTTCCAAACAGCTTACAAGCTACAAAACATGCTAGCATGCTACAACCTTTGGCTGGTGCTTTACAAGCTAAAGTATAGCCACCTAGCTTTGCTAACAGGGCTGAAAGAGCTTAGAGGCTAGATAGCATGGAACATACACTAGCATGTTAGCACCCATGGATGTTGCTACACAGTTGCAGGCACATGACAGGTGAGACTGCCAAGCCCAGCTATGGGACAGATGGCTAGCAGGCTAGTTCTGCAGGTGTATATGCTCACGCTGTTGTCTCGGTGGTAGTACGTCAGAGAAGGTAAGCGTCCCCTGCTGCGGAACCTGGCACTGCCGAGCACAACAGGGAGTGCAGCCGACTTGGGGACGTACAGCTCGCTGGGGTAGGTGTCGCACACCTGGGCGAAGGGACGAGAGATAGCATGAGCGAAAGGCAATGCTGGCCTTCGGGGGCGCCGTGGAGCAGCTGAAGTAGGTTTATAACCAACAATGTTGAAACCAAACCTACATCCCTGAACACACTGATGCTGTGGAAATCCAAAATGGACAAGGAAACGTAACAATAATACATGAGCCTATAACCAGCACGTAAAACAGAAGCAGAGTAAGAGCAGAGTAACTACAGCACGTCGCCGCTTAGCCGAGCGTCTGGACGGACCCGGTAGTCCCGGTTGGCTGTGCTCATCTGCCACAGGCTGTTGGGAAGCCCCATGCGGACGAACTCCGCTTTGAGGTCGATGAAGTTCCAGGATTCTTCTCTAGCCTCTGCATCCAGGTTGGGGTTGAAGGAGAAGCAGTAGAGTTCGGTGTATCTCTCTGTGAACGGAGGAGGCAAAGAGACAGCGTCAGGCCTGGAGGTGGTGCGGAGCTGAGAGCGCAGAGCTGCCAAACTTGTGACGCTCTGGTCTCCCAGCAGGGGGCCCCCGCTGATTTATACCTGAGACACCTGCTAGTCTGGAAGAACTCCAGGAAGTGTCCACCCCCCAGGGTAAGGAGAACAACGTGTAAATAATTCAGGCGCAGCTCCTCACCCGGTCGCGAGAGGCGTGTCAGCAGGGTGTGGACGTCCTGGCAGTCCCGCTCTTGGGGGATGACAAACTGGATCACCTGGAAGTTCTTGCAGCGGAGGAGGAGCGGGCAGCCCGCCGGCGTAGCGGGTACCTTCTCCACAGCAGACACCAAGCTGTGCAGAACCTGCAGGGCCATGGAACCACAGCCGAGGGCCCCGTCAGGAGCCACAGCATGGGGTTACGAGAGCGATAAGCCTCAGAGTTTGGGAAAGACTACAACTCATCAGCTAATGAATGACAAAGGGTTAGGGTTACAGGAATGAGACAGTCAGCGATGGAATATCTCTCTCCAGATAACAGAATTAGGGCCAGCAGTGCTGAGCACAGGACGTCTTTGGCTGTATGTGTTTACCTGCCATATTGTTTTTACTTCCTAAAAAAAAAAAACACCATTATTTCTTTATTGGTTATTCTTGAAGAACGTGCTAGGATCTAACTGTCCCCCTACACTTTATAGAAGCACAGGTGAGCCAGACCACAAGTTATGGCCAGAACCTTTACTCACCCAAGTTTCTCTGTGCCGCTCTGCCTCATGCTCCACAAAAATGGAGTGGGTGGCCGTCAGGTAGAGTGTCCCCACACACGGCTTGCGCCCGGACGCCCTGTCAATCAGGCTGACATTCTCCACCTGGGGACATGGATGGGGTCGGATCGGTGACCGAACCTAGTACACCCTAATACACCATTAACATTTGCGGTACGTTGGACACGCGTGGAAGCTTTCAGCACAAGGTTAACAGAGTAAAATTATAATGAACCGCAGCCACTCCGGCGGAAAGGGGACCAGAGCTCCGCAAAGCTAACGACACCGACACCTTTACAGATCTCCAGTTAGCTATCATTTTAACACAATACCGTCTTAAAATTCAGCGTTTTTCAGCTAGGCGCACATTAACAGAGCCCTTGTGCAACGAGGGGGGCCCGGTGTTCTGTCATAAAATCCTACCTATCGAGATGCGCTATTTCTGCGCATGTGCAGTTCCACCGATTTGGGATTAGGGTTAGGGTTTAGGGGTTAAGTTTAGGTTTTAGGGGTTAGGGTTAAGGTAAGGGTTTTGTGGGGTTTTGGGGAGTTAGGTTAAGGGTAAGAGTTAGGGTTATGGCTATCGATTAGCACTACGGTAGCATAACTCGACAAAGTAGCTCATCTCGACAGAACACCGGCACACGCCTCCAGCCGATACCGATCAGGTGGCTGAGAAGGAAACCTCCATCCATGCTTCGTAGTGTCTGAGTCTGGGCTGAACCACACGCTCCCCACCCGGGCTACACCTTCCTTCCATCCATCCATCCATCTATCTTCTGTAACCGCTTGTCCTATTCAGGGTCGCAGGGAACAACCCAGGATGTTGCGCCGGGCTATACCTTACGTTAGGTATTTTATTACACTCAGCTGGGACATTTATCATCAATACGGATATATATATATATATATATATATATATATATATAAACACATTTTGTGACGTCAGCAAATATCATGCAACGCACTCACGTATATTATATAAAATGTTAAAATATAACACCACAAATACGCGATTTCCTTTGTATAAAGGAGGCTGAACGTGAAAGCGCGCCTGCCTATCAGCCTAAATGGTGAGTACGGCAGCTCCGGCATGACGCCCAGAAAAGGCACCTTTACAGCTGTCAGGGAGCCCGATCGGCCCCTCTTCCCTAAACAAGACTGCGGTCCGGTTACCTTCGGTGTCCTAATGTGCTCCATCGGAATAAAGGGGGCGAAGCGACGTCTGGGCAGGATCACATCGACCCGACGTGCCGATGGAGATCAGAGAAGCGCCGAAGAGCTGCGCGATGGACGGATAGATAGATGGATGGAGGAGCCGGATGCGAAGTCAAGCCATGGATGCTGGGTGCTGGATGCTGCAAACCGCAGGTCTCCGCTCTGCGGGCGAATAAACGCGCCGTGAAGCCGGCTCTATGCAGAGCGCCGCTTAATCCTGCTCGTCCATGCCGTTCGGAGAACTTCGATTTCGTGGATAATGATTTTTATTTATATATAACATATATATTCTTTAGCGGTATCAGTACCGCTCACCCGTTAATACAATAGAAGCAGATATTGCCTTCACGTCAACGGCATTAGCCTCTACGTATTGCTGTGACGTCTGGCTCGTCCATGAATATATAATTATTGTAATTAGCTTACCTTTAAAATTGGATTTGTGAATTGTGTTGTTTTGCATTTTACCTGTTATGTACGAATCTATCCAGACAGATCAGTGTAGGTTATTTAATGTCAGATGGGTCAGTTTATATAAGTTTTATAATTTTCCCGGCTTAATATGCAACTGTAGTGATTTACAATACATTCAATTGCATATCCGTTTTTATTCACGTTCAGTTTCATTCGCAATTATTTGAAATTCAACAAAAATGAAACGCAAACTAGTTTCACCCGATTTGGTTTTACATGGAAATACGTGGATTCTAATACGTCATAAAACCAGATTTTTAACATAAATGGGACACAGAACACAAAAAATACCTAAATTAGATTTGAACTATAAATGATAATAAATCACAACCCTCTCCGATTTCCCTGTGAACACATCCCATTGGCTAGGATCGCATCGGTGCGTTGTTTTTCCCTTCGCCGTGTCGGCGGACGTGCGTCTCGCTGATGCTGCCAGTCACGTGTGGCAGCTGGGCCAATGAGAAGGGCGTGTGTGGGGACGGCAGAGGGAAATTAATCTCGCCTTTAATTAAGCATATTTAAAGGGACTTCACCGACCTGGCATTTTATGTTATTTTGTCGGAAGACAATTCGACACCTGGTGAACACAGTCTTTTGATGGTTCCCTTTTATGTAGTTTCGGAAGCCAGCCGTTTTTCTGTCGTTGCCATTCACGGTAACTTTGCAGTGTCGGTCTATACTGGGATCACGGTCCGCAGTTATGTCATCAGTGTCTGAAGGGACAAATTGCCCCCTCTGTTTTCAAGGTTAAATTGACTTCTGAAAGTAATTTCGACACTGCAGTGCTTTTTTGGGACATTTATCACGTGACACCATGCTCGAAAAGGCTTCTTCTGCTCCGTATTTACCGTTTTCTTTTAAGACCGGGATCGTGTCCAGATGGGCCAGTGATCCCTTCACTGAAACACTAAGCATCCTGGCCTTAACTTGGTAAGACTTAGGCATACCTTGTCATCACTCCTGAATGGGGTATCAGGCTGTACAGTGAAACATGGAAATGGTTTGTGTTCTCTGGAAACCGTATGAAACGATCTGATAATTTTTCCTTCTATATATTACCGAAGTGTTAACAGAAGCTTCACACGTTTTCTGCAAAATAATGTTGCTTTGTATCTTGAGGAATCACATTAAACTTTGAGTGCTTAAAAAGTCATTCTAGAAAGATGGTGAAAAGGAATTAGACTGCCGAATGAGCACAGAGAGGCAGTCTTTACATTATTTCACATATTTATTTCTTTGGTCTCATTTCAACACACTTCCCCTCCTCCCGGGTCATGCATGAGGCATTATCGAAACATACAGCAATCAGCTGTTCCCCAGTTTGGGGGGGGGCAATCACAGGGAATCGTAAAATATTTAACATAGGGGTGAGACACACTCTGTGCAAGGGCAGTGCAAACTCTGAGGATGAGATTATGGACAAGGGAAATGAGGCTTTAGCAGACTCATTTCAAGTCATTCTGGAAAGATCTACAGATGATCATGCAGGAAAGCCCCACTGAGAACCAGAGTAGACCACAGCCACACAAGCCAGCACCCAGTGTTCAGATTAATGCAATGCAGGCTGAGGTTCCTCTGAATGGGCCCTCTGCCTAATCTCTGTGTATCATTAGCAATTTGGTGCAAAGACAGAACTTCTCAAAAACAGCAGTACCTGAACTCATGGGAGCCAACAGCACCAGAACCACAGCTGGGGGAACTACAGGCTGGGTCCTGTGATTAAAAGACCAAGTCACAGAGCTAAATGCCTCCATGGTGATGCACTCAGTCAGAAGCTCTCAATCATTTTACCTTTATTCATTTCAAAAATAAAAAAGGAGCAAGCTAGATCATTCTGGTCAAACCACAAGTACAAGGAACATTGCATTCAGTGTCAGGTTACATACTCAGGGAGCAATACTGAAATCTCCAATGCATGTAGAAAACAAGAGCAGGAAGCACAAAGTCATTTTACAGCTCATACGGCGCTTCATATAGTTCCCCATCAGGCATGGTAAAAGGATGCAGGACACCATCACTGCACTTACGCAAACTGACCACTGGAGGGAGCTTCAGTCCTGAGAACCTTCCCATTTCAAATTACAAATGAGAGAGGGGGGAACGAAGGGGGAAGAAAAAAATAAAATTTACGCCACACCCACTACGGTTTTTCTAATCTCGTCAAAAAAAAAAAAAGTATGCAGGAGTTAAACAGTGGGATGCTACGTAAGGGCCCCTGAGAAATGATGTGGGATGGTGGTTTTCCACAGAAAGGCAAAGGACAAGGTAGTCCTTGCTTTGTAAGTGCTTCTGTGCAACAATGTCTTATGTTGCAGTCAGACACTCCAGATGGATGGATCTGTGGCAGACACTGCCCTCCCCCCCTCCCCTTTCCTTCCATGGTGAGCTCAGGCACGCCCCTCCCCCCAGTGATGCTATCTGGGTGATAACATGGAGCTGTGGGGTGACTGCAGGGGGGATGAGGGAGACCGCTTGTGGGGGCTGCCCAGATCCCCGTTCTGTAGCTTCCATAGTAGCTCCTCGTTCTCCATAGAGAGCCGTTTGTTCACACTGGACTCCTTCTGCAGGATCTGCTGCAGGACGGCCTGCTCCGTGGAGAGCTGCCTGTGGATCAGAGCAGAGCATTAGTGCATGCTGCCCCCCCCGAACAGCACCCCTTGCTGAAGCTACCTGAGGTGGACATGCTTTCATGCTGTATGCCTAGCAGGGCAGAGCGTAGTCCAGCCTACAAATGCTTTCTGATCTGCATCTTTCTAGGGTACCAAGAACTCACATGTACTACAAAGTGCAGTCAGTCATGCTACAATGCATGATAACACAGTAAATCTATCATGATTGGTACCCAAGTCCAATACAGCGTGGAATCTCTGTTTTTGCATCATTTTCCATCTAAGAGAAAAGCACCAGGTGAACTACAACATGATACAGTCATAGCGAGAAACACGACTTGCACACACAGCTATCCAAGTGAATGATATTGATGTCTGATTTGTGAAAATTGTTCTTTTGGACCAGTTCTTCTCAGTGAATCAGTTGAACCAGTTTTCAAATCTAAAAGAATCCAACTTTTTGTACATCCATGCACTGCACAGGTCAAAGTCTTAGATTCTGAAAATGTAAAAATATTTCACAAATTATTATATGAAAACAGTTGACAGCAAGTTCTTACATTTGCTTGTCATAGAATGTAGCCATGTTGCTGACAGTGCTCTTCTGCATACCATAATGCACAGTATTTGTACTGCGTGCATGCCCGACCACATGGTGGCTGTGGCGCATTAATTCACTCTAAATGGTGCTCCATGTTCAAAAGAGGACTCACAATATGCCCCAAAGTAAACCAAGAGCACCACCTAGTGGGGTCATAAAATACAGCAAATGGTTCATGAAGTGTTGTTTTGATCATCACTACTCCTGACTGTCGGCAATCGACAAGTTAACAAGTTTAGCACGTGCGGTTCAATCGGTTACTAGGAAATTCTCGTAAGACTCATAAGACCCATATGAGATGTTTGTAATTTATTAATTCATGATTTAAAGTGCATTTAATTACATTACTGGCCACTGCTATCACTGTTATTCAATTCATTTTCTTTGGCATAAGTTAATTTATGGAGCCACATTCCCTTAACCTCATTTTTCCCACTGGATATGTGCATTTTCGTGAATGTGAGGTTTTTCAGGATTGCATTAGTCACGTTGTAGCAGGACGGATTGTAAATGCAAAATTGTTGATTACTTATGAGAACTAAAAATACACTTTACTGGGTCCAGACCGCTACAGAAGTAAACAGCAAGTCCTGACTAATTATTCACATTTATCTGAGACTTATCGAAAGCGAGTCACGGTAAAGGATCAGGTTACAATGTGTATGCGCTCCCTGGGAATCAAACCCACATAATGCTCAACTTGTTGAGCTACAGAAGCAGCCAATTTAACTGGATTTATTCATAACGATGCAGTGGAAGCAAACTTGTGGATGGCGATGCTCTGCTGCTGCAGGCTACTGAGCAGTAATCGAAGGTTCTGACTCTGATCCAGCACAGGATTAACAGCGAGAGCCATTGTAAGGCAGCATTTTCAACCTAGACACATGCAGCCACCACAAAGTCAATGGGAGTTTCCCCATGGTGTTGCTCACAAGTTCTTTGGAAAAGTATATTTACGTAAATGGAAAGAGTCCAATTGCGTATCTGGTATGCATCAGAGCTATAGGTCCTGGCATGTCGGGCATGACTTAAGTCACCTCCTGGGGACACGGTTGGAGGTGCTGACTGTCTAGCGAAGTCTAAACCCAGCTTGGTTTCCCTGTGTGTGGGACTCCCAAAACGAGCGAGTGAAACCCACGATGGATGAGTGAGGGAGACTCCAGCTCAGAGCAACAGATTCCAGGGGAAACACTGCTGACGTCAGACGGATATCGGAGAGGAATTCACTCCACCCAGGTTTAATAGCTGCAAGCTGTTTGAGCCCAAGCCAAGATCATGCGGACTGAACGAGCAAGAACGTGTGGCGTACACGCACACACGCAGCCTGCAGGGAGAGTTGCGTTACCTTGACAACGCCGCATGCTTGTCCATCCGAACCCTGTAGTCCTCATTCTCCTGCTGAGCCTTCTTCAGGGATTCCTCCAGTTTTACATTGGCCTCGACCTGCCATGCATAATCAAGGCTTTCAGTTACCATACATCCAGCAGTCTGCTGCCATCTCTGTTCTGCTGGACCTGAAGGCCGTGCGACCCCTGCAGACACCCCCCCCCGCAGGCACACTGATCACTCGTTTCTCACTTGGTGCATTTTGAGAACCAGCCTGCCTTTCCATCGGTTTCAAAAAAGAACAGAACAGAAATGTTATGTAGGTGAAAGTGAAAGTTAATCTGTATTTCGTTTTTCTGATTTATTTTGCCGAACCAGGAAAGGAAAAAAAAAAGGTTCCAGAGTATGACTTGTTGCTCCTGGTCATTCCCTGTATTCACTTTGGTCTCCGTAAAGGCTCCCTGTCCGTGTCTGTGAGAGTTTATTCCCGCTCACTGTTTTACCGCTGTCCTTTTAAGGATTGCACAATAAAAAGAGTCTGCTAAAAACTAAACTTTGCAGTCCGCCTCATCTCTTCGCCACTCGAATGCCACAATATTTTACATATTCAACCTGACATATTTATAGTTAAACATATTTATACTTTATTATTAAATCTGGCCAGCAGATCAATCTTTTGTTTTCTTCAGAATAAAGAATTATGTAATCTTCTTCAGCTAATAAGCTATTAAGTGGTTTCACTGCCAGCACCACCGTTATTGGACTATATCGGTTATGGATCGAATGTTCCGGGTATAAGGAAGGTTTGGATGCCATAGCCCGTTACAGTGTCACATTCTGAGCCCAGCTTTTCTGTGGTGCCTTGCTGGAGCCGTTCTTCTGGTTGCGGTGGAAACGTGTGGAACCAGGGTCAGATAAAGAGAAAGTTTGGCACCAGCACTGGCACTGTATTGGTGGAAACGAGGCTTTTGAGAGCTCAGCCCAGATTTAAACACTTTCACGAACACTGTGCACAGCCTTTCTGCATTAGGGTTCAGACTGTTCCCACTTCACCCCTGCAAAAGCACCATAAACTCGAACGCATGTCCACACAGCATGGCTGAGCCGCCGTCAGCTCAACACCCCTACTGTGTTGGGCCCAACATGGGGGGCATCCTCAGTTGCGTCCTGCCTCACCAGCTTGTCCATCTGCATCACCTTCCTCTCCTGCTGGTGGAGCTGCTTGTTCTTGATGTCCAGCACCACCTTGAGGCTCTCCAGCTCCTGCTCCAGGTACATGGTGTGGGAGTCCTTCTGCAAAGCAGCACATCCGGTTCCAGTTAGGCCAGCGCCATCCAAGCCAGTCCTGGTGACTGTGTGTAAGCATCATTCTCTGAGGAATACCATGACACACAAGCACACAGACTGACCTGGCTCACAGGGGGTCCCCCCTTCGCACGCTCACCTGATTTTTCTCAGCAAGCTTCCTCCTCCTGTCCTCCTGGGCCTTCAGCTTCTCATTGAGGTCGTTGTTCTCCACCATCAGACACTCAATCTGCTCCTGGAAGGAGAGGCTCTGTGATGCGTGCCCCCTAGCCATGCTGACAGGGCCGTGATGTGGTGCGGCGGCGATCGGCTTACACGCAGCGTCTGGCTCAACACCTGCATGTCCTCTTGATGCGTCCTCCTGTCTTCTGCGAGGCAGAGGAACCGTGGCCGGTCAGCACCGTACAGACAGGCAGAAGGCCAGCGTACCGGCAGAGGACACACCCACCTTCCAGTACTGCCTCGTAGTGCTGGGTGAACTTCTCCACAGCCTCGCCATGACTGGCCTCCATCCTGCTCTTCTGTGCCTCTATCTGTGAAGGGAGTGCAGGAGTCAAAGAAACAGCTAGCAGGGGGCGTAGTGGCTGCAGCTTCATATTTCAGTAGGGAAAAACTACTTTGCTCAGTAGTTAAAAACACAGCCTGAAGTCTTAAAATATAAAATCAAGCCAGCTTCAGAGGTGGGGGGAGGTCATGAGCCTACCTCCTGCTGCATGAGGCCCTGGTAGCGGTCCAGCGCCTCCTGGTACGCCCTGGTCTGCTCCTCGCACTGTACATTGAAGAGCTCCTCCAACTGCCGCTTCTGCCCGGCCAGCTCACACTCATACTGCTCCCGCGCCTCCTTCAGGGCACCCTCCAGGGTCACACGCACCTCCTCCTTCTCCTGCTGGAGACGCTCACATAGGGAAGTGCGGGTGCCTGGGGGGGGGGGGGGGCACAAGGTGACACACACGCGGGCAGGCCGACACACACCAAGGATCCCTGGCTGATTATCTAAGAATCCCCACGCTAACCATCACCTCCACAAGGGGGGCGCTGTAACAGTGCTGGCAGGAGTCGGGATGTCCCTGAATGGCCCTCCCCTGACCAACAGAGCTAATCAGTCCCGAGCCCTGTCAGCAATTATAACCCCCCCCCCCCAAACAGTGACTTAATTGGTTAAGGTGACTCTGGAGGAACAAGGCCCAGGGAGATCAGCGGTGGGCTCCTAGTCATACAGCTCCATTGACACACGTGTGACTCCCGTTAGCAGCATCGTGATGAGGATGGGGGGGGGGGGGGCTCACCTAGCTCCACCCGCAGATCCATGAGCTCCATAGAAAGCTGCCTCTTCTGCTTCAGGTCCTCTTCATGCTGCGACCGACAGAGAGTGATGTGAGTGGTGTGTTACCACGGGGTCGACAGACACGCGCTCCTGGAGCGAGGAACCAAACAGAGCCAAGTGGCTCTCTGTGTCAAGCCAAACATTTGCGCAGAGATTAGATACAGCGACACACCTGCCCTGTATAAACTCAGCATGGCCCTCAAGCGAGCCACCTGTGACCCGCGTGGGGGCTGGACCCAAATGCCCTCCCGCTCAGTCAGGCTTTTAGCGTGTGCAGCTTCGGGGGTTGGTGACTGCAGAGTCACCCCCACGTGAACCCTGCACATCTGGCTGGCCGACGCAGCAAGAGACAAGCACCTCTCAAGGCAGACCGCAGAGCATCAGCACTGATGGCAGTAACAGACGGACCGTGGAACAGAGACGCATGGAGAACCGGCACAGAACGAGAGAAGAGTGTGTGATAGAGACAGAGAGGCGGACCAGTGACTGCCAGATAACCAGTCAATTGCCCAGATTTTAGGGCCTAAAGATGCCCCCCCTCAGATGATCCAACACATTCAAAAGTATCTTTCGGACACCCCCCTCCCCAAGAAAAACAAAGTCAGAAGCTCCAAGAGGAACGGGGAGAGCGAATCACCTTCCTGCCCTTGCGCGGGTGCCTCCTGCGGCAGCCTTTGCTGCCTGCCGCCCCCATCATCCCGGAGGGGAGGTGGCCGGCCGATTGGAAAGCAGCTGCTGCCTCCAGGTCCCTCGGAAGTCTGTCGGCATGCGTGAGGCAGCCCTGTTCCCTAAACGGCCAGCACGAGGCCCAGCCTCCCTCCACCACCCTCGGCAACCGTACTCCACCTAAGAGCTGCACCTGCACAACACTGTCAACTTAAGATAAACATCCTTTTTTGGCTTGCCAGAAATAATCCCAACCTAACCAGGTTGAAATCAGATGGCGTGCATTAACTCTTTAGGTGTGAATCTGAGAGGGGCTGACTGTATGAATACAGTTTCATGGCTCCAGCCATTAAGCTAGACAGTGACCAGGTGGAAAACACGCTGTCCCTCTAATAGGGAGAGAGTGGTGATATCTATACACACCCCTGGGCACAGGAGATACACACTGAACAGCTGTGCCACACCCCTGGGGGCAAGCCAAGCCAATACCGTGGGCCATAAACAAACACATGGAAACGACGGTCTTCGGCTGAAAAACCACCTGTAGCCCCTCCCCCCCCGGCAAGCGGCCGCTCTGGTTCGCTGGGAAGAGCCACATTCCAGATCATGCCCGGAGCCCCACTGACTAATTCTCTGCTAACTATGCAGACGAGCAGGAACAACACGCTCCAGCACGGCCCTGCTGTTTACGCTTTATTTACCGATGCATTTCAGCCTCAGGACCTACATTCACCATCAAGTGAGAACCTCGAGCACCACGCCCCCCACAGGCCGCGTGCAGCGACGAGCCGCGCAGAACACCTGCTGCTGACAAAGACCGACCGGAAACTGCCTCAGGGAGGAGCTCAGGAGCAGACACACAATGGCTGCGCACTGCCATATGAAGCCCAGGTCATGGGGTACTTTGCAAGCAAACAGATGTGTCCTCGCAATAAAAACAATATACCAGTTACAGCCACAGCAGAGAGCAGCAGTTGGCAAGGGTGACAAAGAAAACGTTAGGGCTCCATCAACACATCCTCTGAACAAACCGATTCGCCGGGTCAGTGGAACATCAGTGCCACCTCCAGCCACATCAGCACAGACGTGCTAAAGGTCCATGAAGAGCCCGAGGGCCGGGGCGTGTTGGCATCCTACCTGAGCAGAGATGTGCTGCACCACCACGGTCAGGGCGTGTTGGCACCCTACCTGAGCAGAGATGTGCTGCACCACCACGGTCAGGGCCTCCATGACGCGTGTCACAGACCCCAGCTGCTGCTGGAGCCGCTGCTGGAGCTGGGGGGCAAGCCTCGGCCCGGAAAGCTTGGGCTGAGCCAAGGGGGGGTTCGGCTGGCCTTGTACCCGGGGGCTCCTGAGGGCAGACCTCAGCCGGCTCCTATCCACTGTGGGAGAGACGCAGCCTTTAATGCGGGGAGTCCCTCCGGATAGGGACACACCCATAGAAGTGCACCAAGAAAGCATATACAAATAGACAAAACAAACAAAAAAAAATGGTAGTAACCTGCGGGTAACAGACTGATTCTCCATGCCAATCCGAAGCGATCGCATGCCCATCGTTGCGTGTCAGATGGAACACTCAGTAGGTTAACATGCACAGCTAAGTTGAGCTATGCTTATAACTCAACTACACCGTTTAATCGGACTACTGTCCTTATCCCAATAAACATGCACAGGAAGGGAATCGATTTACTGCCCAAAGTATGTCCAACTTCGCTACAACAGGTGGCAATATGGCTCCTTTCAGCTTATTAGTATCAGGCTATTTCTGGTTGACCTATTACGTCACGTAAAATTAATGATGGGTGCATGGACAAATGAAGTGACAAGCTTTAATTACGATCTGGTCAGAAGAACAGATAAGATCAGGATAGCATAACAAGACATAGTATTTTGTGTAATATACTATGACATCACGGTATTGGTTATTTTTCAAATATTGCAATGTGATTTCATGGTAATAAATATTGGCGTATTTATGAAACAAAATAGGTGTCCAACGTAAATTTCTCATGAACTTATCTAGGAGTGATTTAAACAGCAAGGATTATACTGATTACGATTGTCTCAGAATGCATGCAGCGCTCATGCAAAAGCAGCAGAGGTAAACTTTAAACTGATTTTTAAACATATACTAGATAATCTTGAAAATGAATAATTAAGATTTCAAAACTTCCTAGGTTTTTTCTGAGTAAAAATGTTTTAACGAGACTCCCTGCGCTATAATGTCCGTGCCGAATTGAAGGTAAGAAAAAGCCTGATCTTAATCTAGTTGATTAGCGATATAAGAAATGGATGTGCATAACATGCAATGTTGGTATTAATATCGCATGTCGTCCAGTCCTACTACAGCCATTTTTACTTTTGGTACCTTCTTGAAGTATGAAAAGTATGGTACCAGCTGCGCCCTTTAGGGAGTGGTGAATTGGGCAACTTTACAGTGCTGTACATTTTGTGCTTTTTCACAAACAAACGAGATGCACGCTATTCCTTGTGACAACACCACCATATGGTGCTGGAGTGAGCCAACAACACAACCTCTGCTGTGCTTCAAGCTTCTTCTGGGTCAAAGTTCGGGGGGAACTGTGGAGCATGCGCAGTGGAGCATGCGCAGAGAGCCTAGGCCGGTTTGAGTCCAATTGAACGTATACATGCAGGAGTAAATCGACTCCCAATCGCATTATCTGGGTGTCTTAGTCAGACTTGGAGTCGGAATTCGATTTAGTCCAACTGAAATTGTACTAACATTTACATGTAATTTAAAAGTCAAACAGTATTTCGATTTTCTTAGTGTGTATGTAACGGTACTGAATGTGTCTCTGGTGTGGGACCCTTATGTCTTTGCACAAAGACTCGCCTACTGACTGACACTGGACTCTGGTTGGTGGACCAATCACCATGGTAGAAGACTCTTCGAAAGGACCAATCAACTCATGGGAAGTCATGACACGCTGATCCAATCATGACCTTTGCTGTCGGGCTGTCCAGAATGATGGGCACTATCTGAGCGGGAGTATAGGTACCGCCAAGAAAAGCGATAGGACAGGAAATCACAGCATGTGGAGGCTAGTAACTCAGCGAGCCAGATTTTCTGTAAGCAGTTTGGAAACTTAGCACATTTAAACAAGGGTTCACGGTTTAACCGCATCTGTTTGGCAACGTACAAATGCACCAACATGTCATTTCCAAGGTCCCAGGGCTCCCCCCACTGGTCTGAGGCGTGTACTGCCCCAGGGTCACACTGCCTCTGCTCTGAGCAAAACACACTGAACACGTGGGGCCCATTCTGGCCCGTTTTCACTTTCAGGTGGGTGCAAGCTGGGTGCAGACAGAAGGCGACCGGCCCGTGTGCTCGGAGACACACTGGAACACGCACCTAATGTCACCAGTGACAACAGGGGACAAAGGCATGAAGTCACAGGCTGCCATGTGACATGCAGGCCTACATATGATTCAGAGGAGGGGAAATCGAGGCCAGTGGCCCTGCTGGGGTGGGGGCTCTACTCAGAGGGCAGACCAGCACCGAGATAGTCGGCTATGATCATGGGCCCTCCGAGCAAGACCCCCAGGGGCCAGTAACCATTAAATCAAATGCAATTTAGTCAACCACTGCACCATCTGCTGGCCCCTGGGTGTAAAAACAGGCTACATATAGGCATGTCCTAAATGGCCATTGCCGTGTGGCTGCAGACTGTGGGGTCCATATTCCCACCATTAATGTTTTGGATGTGAATTATGAGAGTAAGTGGAAGCCTCCCCCCCGCCCCCTCGGGGCACACACTGCCCCTACCCACATGAAGAGATTAAGGGGGGGGGTCTGTCTGTAACTATGTGATTAGGCGCTAAAGCGGATCAGTGCTTCAAACAGCACCAGATGCATTTTGGGCTGGGGGGTAAATTCATAGAGGGAATTAATGAGGCAATTAACGAGCACTAATCACCAACATATACTACAGTCTGGGATTCTTATGGGTTAAGCCAAACACCCCCTTTCCTTCCCTACATGAGTGTCGACGTATCCCTGCAGCCGAGCGGGACTGCAGACAGGCACGCAGGGCAAGCATGCAGCGGCGGCAGCGATCGCAGACCTGCACGGGACAGCAGCGTGCTCCTGCCGCATGCTGGCAGCCTCCCAAGCAGCCTCTGGGAGGTCAGCTTCACACGGATATGGGACATAGTGTATGGGGGTCCACAGCATGGAGAGGGAACGCCGGGGGCTGAGGTGGATGTTTGGGGGGGGGGGGGTGATTTGGTCCCTGCTGTTGAAACCAAACCATGGCCAAATATGGTGAGGAGCTTTATCTAGGGGGGAACTGAGACCCCACCCCCACACATCCTGCATGCAGGACAGGGGGCTTTTGTGAGGGCTTTGTGACGTCAGCACAGAGCGAGGTCATAGTCTGGGAAACGAGGGACCCACAGACACCAGACAGAAGCAGAGACAGAGAGAGGTACGCACACAAGCAGCGTGATAGCCCCCCCCAGTTCCAGCCTGGCTGCACAGCCCAGGAACACAGAACAAATCCTGTCCCCCTTTCCAACGATGGGCTTGCGGTTGTATTCCTGGGCATTCTGGGAAATTGACTGTAAAACATGGCTCATGCCCCATAATGCAGACCTCTAAGCACGACCGCCATCAGCAAACATGGCAGGAGTCTGGCACACAGTGGTACTGCACAGCATTGTCGGAGAAGGACCAGTAAACAAGGCCAACCACCCAAGATGCGGACCTGTCTCCAAGACCATCATAAGCAAACTGAGCAGGTGTCAGGCTGACTGTGGCACTGCTCCAGTTTACCTTGTGTAGGGGTGGGGGGGTGCTGAGTTCTTGTGGAGTTTGTCCTTGGCATGGGGCTTGTGGCCGGCCTTGGAGGGAGGGCACTGGGACCGGCTGCTGTCTGGAGTACTGGAAACGGGGGAACGGCCATTAGTGATCCCTGTGTGAAAGGACACACACACACACACACACACA